TCTATGCCTATGGTGCGGGCTTAGAGCAGTCAGACCTGAGAAGGTCACAGAAGGAAAAAAACAGCTCCAGGCGCTGGAAGCTTCCATCCATACATTGAGTGCCCAGGAACCTATTGCCATTGAGTATACTGGAGCATATGGGGAGTTGGTCTATATGGAAAATTTAAAGGAGAACTATGAGGTGCGTGCTTTTCACTCACCTCATAGTTCTAGCTGACCTGTGACAATGAGACTGTCACAGGTCAGCTCAGTAGATCGGGAGGTGAGCGAACAGTTACGGGCGTTCACTCACCTCTCGATCCTGTCACGGCTCTCTGCCATGACAGGGGAGGGGCTGGATTCCCCCCTCCCCGCTCCGATCCGCCAGCGCTGACTGGCGGAACGGACGGGGGAATGTACAGCTGGCTCTGCCTCTAGATAGGCAGAGCCAGCTGTCAGTCAGCTGCGGCGTCTCAGTATACCGCGAGCAGCAGCTTGCGGTATACCCTAAGGAGAAATATGGGGGAAAGACTTAACCACATAGTTCTCCTTTAAATCAGATTTATTACAGATCTGTTTGGTTTCTCAAGGCGTCATTTCATTATGTAAGCCCTAATGAAGAGGGAGCCTGTTTTACGTGATTGAATTCTAAACAAAAAAAAATCAGGGTTGTCGCTAGTATAATCAGTGCCTGAGGTTGGGGGGGAGGTGGTGGTGCTGGTGGTCACATTCTGGGCGGAGGTGTTGATGGGGTGCTGATGGTGCTCACTAACAGCATTCTGGCCGGCATCCTGGTGGTGCACCGACCAACTCTGGCCAGCACCCCACTCAAGTCCTGGCAACCAGTGACAAAGGGGGTGGCAGGTCCCACATAACCCAAATAGATGCTGCCTGAGGCAACAGTCTGCTTCATTATAGGGATGGCCATGGTCAGATCTAAGAAGATAACAGAAGGACAAAACCTGATGATTGGGGAGTGTTTTGGCCCCTGAAATGCATTGGATTTTTTTTTCATGATCAAATTGTGAACAATTAAAATCATACTAGACTCTAATTTCTGTTTTGGCACTCCATTCTATAGGTCTATGGTGTGGGCTCTCAGCACAGTCAGACCTGAGAAGGTCACAGAAGGACAAAACCAGCTCTGGCCACTGGCCCCTTCCATACATTATATATAAAGATTAATGCAGAGCTCTATACTCCATCCACTATCTACCAATACAAGTCACCATATATAAATAAAAAATACAATCAAGTGCTACAACCTTCCAAACAAAACCTCTGAAGTTCACCAGTGCAATAAATCAGTTACAAATACTCTACTTCATAAATAAAAGCCAGCGTTCCACATCATAGCACAACACATCTATTTTCAGGATACAAGTCTTCAGTGTATCAGGCAAGCTTCTGCTTACAATTCTTCTTATGAATCACTTCTATACAGTATGCTTCCACCATCTTTTTTTGCTCTTCACCCTTAAAGGAGAGCTATGAGGTGCGTGCTTTTCACTCACCTCATAGTTCTAGCCGACCTGTGACAATGAGACTGTCACAGGTCAGCTTAGTAGATCGGGAGGTGAGGGAACACATACCGGCGTGCGCTCACCTCTCGATCCTGTCACGGCTCTCTGCCGCGACAGGGGCGGGGCTGGATTCCCCCCTCCCCGCTCCGATCTGCCAGCGCTGACTGACGGAACGGACGGGGGAGGGGGCGGGTACAGCTGGCTCTGCCTCTAGATAGGCAGAGCCAGCTGTCAGTCACGCAGCTGGGCGGATCCCGGCACAATTGTCGGGATCCGCTTCAGCTGCAGCGTCTCAGTATACAGCGAGCAGCAGTTCGAGTATACTGAGCTTTGGGTGACGGGAGGACGATAGTTTGTGTCCTCCTGTTACCCTAAGGAGAAGTATGGGAAAAAGCCCTGACCCCATAGTTCTCCTTTAAGCACCTGGCAAAAATCGTTACTCTTGGCTGTGAGAGGATCAGGAGAAAGAAGGATCCGCCCCGGGCCATTTCATGCGTTTTTATTTAATAATGTTGACTTTTGCCAATCCACCTACACTGTGTCTGTCCATCAAAACATTAAATGCACCGCTCAGCGGGGAACACAACTGCCATGAATTATTCACAGGGTTTTGAATTCCTTTGCACATCTCTCTAGTAATTATCCTCCTTGACAAGTAAATATGGTTATTCATATCACAAGTTTACAAGATATTTCAAGACAGCTTTGTATGCGTAGGACCGGCCAGATATCGGGTCCCTTTATCTGTGTTATAAAGCTTTTTATTGTTTATCCGATTAATCGAACTTAATAATCGGCTAACTAATCGATTTTGAAAATAATCGTTAGCTGCAGCTCTAATACAATCCAAGACCAGATGGTAAGGAGGGACCTGCCCCTGTGCTGGCTCTGCCTATCTAGAGGCAGAGCCAGCTGTACCCGCCCCCTCCCCCGTCTGTTCCGCTAGTCAGCGCTGGCGGATCGGAGCGGGGAAGGGGGAATCCATCCCCTCCCCTGTCACGGCAGAGAGCCGTGACAGGATCGAGAGGTGAGCGAACGCCGGTATGTGTTTGCTCACCTCCCGATCTACTGAGCCGACCTGTGACAGTCTCATTGTTACAGGTCGGCTAGGACTATGAGGTGAGTGAAAAGCACTCCCCTCATAGTTCTCATTTAAAGGCAGTCAAGGTGGGAGACAGACGGACCGGTCGCGGTAAAGAGTTCCAGAGGATGTGAGAGAATAATAAGCTTGGCCCGGTCCCTCCTATATGTGCTTCCATATTACCTCTGATCATACATTCTGTAACTGTGTACAATGATACTGCTTTTCAGTCTTGGGTGCTAATGAGCTCAATATTAAATGTTTTCTTCCTTCAACCCGTTGATATCATTGTCCGTGGAATATTTCATTACAGCGCAGAACTGAGATAAAAAAAAAGGCTTCTCTTATTTTTCTGCACTGAGATACTACATCCAAAGTGTCATTTGTTCTGTTTTCATTGGGGATGTCGAGCAGTTTAAAAAGATCAACAGTGACCTCCAGTGGGCGAAAAATCCCAATGCATCCTTCTTAATAAAAAAAAAAAAAATCAAAATTCAACTGTAAGATACACATTGATCGCAATGCCACATAAATCCCCGAATCCTGCAGAGCCCTTCGCGTTTATGACTCAAAAAACATTTTGTTTTCCATGCGATACTTTCTAGCAAAGTCACCGTCAGCACACCGAGCTGAGTGCAGAAAATAGCATTGCAAGTTGCATATTGGGAGAAAGGGTGGCCCCTTATAGGCAGGTTCCTCAATGTGTCCCCCTCCCCGCCAAACAAACCCCCCCCTCCCCCATGGAGAATGGCAGACCTGCAGACTGCATACAAGTGATCTCGGCGACATCACCGGGATCACATGTACAAAACAAGTGGCAGCTGCCCAAAGCAGGGCTAAATGTAGAATATAACCACCCGCCTGGAACTGCATGTCCCGGGCATCGGGAGATAGGAATTCCACATCCCTGCTGCCCTTCTACTGCCTGCTGCCCCAAGGCCGAGCCTTGGCTGGCCCTGCTTATAGGTCTCTGATTATATCTGGATATCTTGTAAGCATCCTTTCTATGAAACATCCCAGCTGTGCGCTGGCCTCCACGAATGACAGGCTCCCTTGACTGCAGCAGCTATGGCTTCAGCAGTGGTGGGAACTTGTCCAACCATTAAACTTTAAGGAGTGATACATTGTGGCAGGTCTACAAGGCTTGCAGATCTCAACCGAAGAGACATCATATTCCGAACCTTCCAGTACATATCCGTCTTGTCCTATCAGCAGTCGTTCTATGTCTTCCCAGCAGTTCAATCGATAGGTGGTTCGCTGACCCCCCCCCCAAAAAAAACCACACATCTATTTAACCCTGTTCAGCAGCTGGACCAATCTATATGGGCACTATGCTAAGATCACTTAGGTGCAGTTGGAGGGAAGGCAAACTTCATGGCACGTTAGAAGGCAGCCTATGGATTCTTACATCAATGGCAATGCTGATAATGCTACAGAGAGCACAACGATACTCAATGTTTATTACTTTGTCAATGATCAGAGATTTACATTTAACACTATAAACCTGTAAAGCAATAACTACAATGAAACAGTCCCTAGAGGTTTCTTCCTACCAGACTGCAGAAGGTTCCCATTAAATATTATGTAGCACGCCTCCTATATATGAACCATGTTCTATAGATACCACCCGGGGAACCTCCTACACCTCTCATCAGAAACAATGTATCAGCACAGCCTACCCTGGTATGTACCCCCCATGCACAGCTGTCAGAGCCCCCCAGGTGGTTCTATAGGTACACCCCGGGGAACCTCCTACACCTCTCATCAAAAACAATGTATCAGCACAGACTACCCTGGTATGTACCCCCCATGCACAGCTGTCAGAGCCCCCCAGGTGGTTCTATAGGTACACCCCGGGGAACCTCCTACACCTCTCATCAAAAACAATGTATCAGCACAGACTACCCTGGTATGTACCCCCCATGCACAGCTGTCAGAGCCCCCCAGGTGGTTCTATAGGTACACCCCGGGGAACCTCCTACACCTCTCATCAAAAACAATGTATCAGCACAGACTACCCTGGTATGTACCCCCCATGCACAGCTGTCAGAGCCCCCCAGGTGGTTCTATAGGTACACCCCGGGGAACCTCCTACACCTCTCATCAAAAACAATGTATCAGCACAGCCTGCCCAGGTATGTACCCCATACACACAGCTGTCAGAGCCCCCCAGGTGGTTCTATGGGTACATCCTGGGTAATCTTCTACACCTTTTATCAGAAACAATGTATCAGCACATCCTACCCTGATATGTACCCCCCACACACAGCTGTCAGAGCCCCCCAGGTGGTTCTATAGATACATCCTGGGGGATCCTCTACACCTCTTATCAGAAACAATGTATCAGCACAGCCTGCCCAGGTATGTACCCCCCATACACAGCTGTCAGAGCCCCCCCAGGTGTCCCCATCACTTACAGTTTGCAGCTGTTGATCCAAGGGGCCACACAGCAGACAGCAGCACACACAGAAAAGCCCCAAACCAGGTCCCCCCAGAATCCATCGTGTCTTGTTTTCCTCCAGCAGAAGCTGCTCAGGTAGAAGGCAGAGTCAGTGTGGATGTTATCCCAGATCTCTGTGCCTTGCTCTGCTCAGACAATCCTTTGCTCTCAGCAGCATCCAGATAATCCAGGCTGGGCTGCAGACTTCCTCTGCACAAACTCCTTCAAGAGAACCCTCCACAGGAGACAGGCAGACAGGCAGCCAGCGAGCAGGAGGCAGCTTCCAGCTCTGGGATGAAGATTCAGCACTGAGATGGTGGACAGCTCCTTATAGGCGAGCGATAGAAGCTCCCCACCCCCAGCCCGGAGCAGATCCACCCACTGTGCATGGCAGAGCGCAGTCCGGAGCCCGGGCAGAGCTGTCACAGCCAGCGCAGGGAGCAGGAGACACGACCCCGGGCTGGGTTCTGGGAGGTCCGGAGGGCTGGATCGCTGACAATGCCTTATAGGAGGTGCTGTGTCTGCAACACATAGACTCTGCATGAGGGATCGCTGCATGTAACGGATTGCACAAGACATTTCAACATCTCCAGCAATGTACACAGCGCTGTACACATTGTACGTTCACATCATTATACTCTACATTGTATATTATAGTGTATAGTATATTCACACCAGTCCCTGACCTTATGGAACTAACAATCTAAGGTCCCTATCTCACATGTATACACAGACAGGAACCAAGTAACCTGCCAGCATATTTGGGAGGAAACCCATGCAAGCACAGGGAGAACATGCAAACTCCATGCAGTTAGCTTCCTGGGCATGTAAATTTGCAAGCTCCATGCAGATAGCATGCTAGGCATGCAAGCGCATGGAGAACATGCCTATTCTATGGAGACAGCAAACTCCGTGCAGTTAGCTTCCTTGGCATGTAAGCCTAGGGAGAATTTGCAAGCTCCATGCAGATAGTATGCTAGGCATGCAAGCACATCCCCCCCCCATTATATAAACATCTACTGGAACTGTACCCCGCACCCCCCACACACACCATGTTTTATTTAAATGTTTTCAATTTTTTTAAGTAGAGACACGCAGAGCCCTCAGAGACACACAGCCCTCAGAGACACACACAGAGTCCTCTGAGACACACAGAGCCCTCAGAGACACGCCGAGTCCTCGGAGACACACTGAGCCCTTAAGAACGGAAACCCTGATTAAGAATAGGGAACGGTGGAGCCCCGACTCTCTCCGGGGGAATTCAGCGTTTGCTTGCGCAGATAATAGTTTTCTGGAAATTCCAGCAATCCCTTCATAGGTCAATCTGCAGGCAACCTGGAGTGTGACGCCTCATTGATCATTAACCAGGTGATTGTATAATTGTTCACCTCCTAATGCGCTACACGAAGAGCTCCTCACCCATGAAATATTCAGAGACAGGACGGCCTTCAAGCTGAATGTGGAGTTTATTGGCTGCTATAGGCTGTCAATTAAAACAAGCGACGCGGCGTAATCTTCCTGCCGATGCATTCAAGAGAAACAGCTGAATCCACAGCTGCAATGCTTCTCTATAGAAGATGTTTTACCTGCCAAAGGGTTAGGAACCTCAGCGAAGCCTTGCCAGGCAGCACAGCAAGTCTGGTGACCTGGCTTTCCTCTACTGCGTTTCGGCAATACACCTCGGTCACCTGCAGGTCTGCTTTTTCTGCTTCCAACACAATCTTCATGGACAGAAGGTTCACTTGCTGTCTAATACATCCTACCCACTTTCAGGTGCCATTGTAACCAGATAATCAATGTTATTCACTTCACCTGTCAGCTGTCACAATGTTTTGGCTGATTGGTGTAGAGAGATGACCTGGGACCCAGAGTGTCATGTGACCAGGGTTTTAGCCTCGGCCTCGGCCCAGCTCTGAAAATACCTCCCGATAATAGTATTATAACTTCCCTTTCAGAGTAATGTTCTTTCACAGCGGCGTTGTGCAGTCCTCTGACGTGGATGTTAAACTGACTTAACAATGGGAGAGACCAGCGGTGGAAGTCTCCTATACCGGAGGGCTTCTGGTGATAAGAGCCGCCGATTCTTTTCCCCTAATGACGGCGGCTAGAAAAGGGAAACTCGTCTTTTATTTCTGCTCTCCCTCTTATCTGCAGATTCCATTCACTGCGTCCTGCTGCCGGGGAGAGCGGACAAAGCCGGGGGAAAGCGACACGTTTATCATAATCCGGAGGAGACGGCGGCAATGGGAACGCTGCAATAAAAGGGGAGAGGCGATCGGTGAAACTAGAAGTTTTCTAGATATACTGTATATGTGAATGTCATCGGCTTTAGAAGCACCCGGGATCAAATAAATGTTTTCTTATTAAAGGAGAACTATGAGGAGTGCTTTTCACTCACCTCATAGTTCTAGCCGACCTGTGACAATGAGACTGTCACAGGTCGGCTCAGTAGATCGGGAGGTGAGCGAACACATACCGGCATTCGCTCACCTCTCGATCCTGTCACGGCTCTCTGCAGTGACAGGGGAGGGGCTGGATTCCCCCCTCCCCGCTCCAATCCTCCAGTGCTGACTGGCGGAACGGGAGGGGGGAGGGGGCGGGTACAGCTGCCTCTGCCTCTAGATAGGCAGAGCCAGCTGTCAGTCACGCAGCAGGGCGGATCCAGACATAATTGTCGGGATCCGCTTCAGCTGTGGCGTCTCAGTATACCGCGAGCTGTAGCTCCCTATATACTGAGCCTAGGGTGACGGGAGGACGCTAGTTAGTGTCCTCCCGTTACCCTAAGGAGAACTATGGGGGAAAAGACTTAACCCCATAGTTCTCCTTTAGAGATATGCATGC